TTTTTCCTGCATTTACCTGCTTATAGCTTTCTGTTTTGTTTTTTTTGGGTTTTCTGTTTTAAGCGATTAACAGTTTCATATACATATAAGAGTCTGATGACTTTTGGAGGCTATCAAGATGATTTTATGTTGGTTGTTAACAATGCTCAGAGAAAGGACAAATCAACTGAAAAACTCCTTTTTGCCATGACAAAACCAAAGGTTGGTGTATTACCTGAAATACTTTCCCACCATCTGCTGCTTTCCTACTTTTAGCAGGGGGTAATCCTTAACAGATGTAAGAGATGAAACACTTTATTTATTCCTAGCATCCTCAGGATATTGACTTTTGCCAGATGGTTTTGGAGAACAAAACAATTAGTAAAACAAAACAAGAGCTATCAGAGAGGATATTGATGTTTCTTTTAATGTCCTTTTCTACAGCATTCCAGATTTTTCATATAAAGGAGAGAAGGGGCAGACATTATATAAAAATTAGTCTGTTTGCTTCAAGACCCTAGATAATTTTTAAAAATAACTGTGTTATACAGTGGACTTCTGTAATATATATCACTTCTTAAAAATCCTAAGATTTGTTTTCTTTGGTAAAGAAACTGTTAGTGCTTTTTAAAATCTAGTCTCTGTCTTTCAGTGATAGAGTTGGCTATTTCACAAAGCTTGCTTTGCTTGCTGTATGCCAGAACAATCTGTAAAACAAAACACAAAATTCCACATACAAATGTGGGTCAAAACTCTGGTTTCCCTCAGACTGTGCCCTTATAGGCAAGGTGGTGTGGGTTGCAAAGAGAAGGATGGTACAAAGCTCCCAGATGTCTTCCTGCCTTCTGTCTACTCTGCATCCTTGAGCACTAGATGACTAGAAAAAAGTGAGGGAACACATTGCAAAAGCTTTTTCCAAAGAGCAGACTTCAAAATCTCTCTTGAAGAAGTGATAGAAGCCACCTGTTTGAAAGATTTAAAACTGTGCAAGACAAAGCATTCAGCATGCTCTTGGGAACAGCAATTCATTACTGGCAAGCTGAGATAGAAGAAAGCTCTATTAGGCACTTCCTTTCTCCCATCACTAATTTAATAAAGTGCACGTACTTCTCCAGTTGATGGTGATTGTCACTTGCTGAAAAGTTAGCTATTTTTCCAGCAGTCAAAACACATCACTGTATTTTTCAAAGAGATTTGTATGTTCCTGTTACAGATTCTTGAGATCACTCTACTGATTGCCAGCTATATTAACAACTTCCATCAGCAGAAAGGAGCTGCTCATCATCTCTCTGCTCCAGCACTACTGACACCTCAAACTGGACAGAAACTCAAGGAAATGGGGAGTCAGCCACTTCTCACAAACAACAGACCAACTAAATGCCCCACTTTGTTATGAAAGGATTAGGTGTCATGATAATGTGCCTTATTTATATGGTTTCCATACTGATAGAATATTTTCTGGTAGGCAAGATACACAGCATAAGGAGGTCTATAAACAAAAGAAAGATGGATGGGTTTGCATTCAATCCAGTGAGATATGAGAGGAGTCCTCCTTCAGTTAAAACCCTGGCCTGACCTGGAATTATGAAGATGAGCCTGTTTCTGCATTCTGCTTCTTTGGGGGTGGCTTGTCCCTGCAGCTCAAAAATAAATGTGTCTGCTGTTAGTGATGGGGAAGGGTGGCCTTAGGAACAATTCTATAGGTTTTAAACATTTTCAGGCTGTTTTCTCAGGGACCAAACTGTCTGCAACCCTTCACCTCTATTTTTCAAAATAATACAAGTTGTATAACCTTCATTACAAAAAAGTAAATATTTTAAAAGAAAAGTCAACAAGGCAGAAACGCACCATATATGATCATAAATCTGAAGTGTATTTTCATGAATACTTTTAGCCTTTGTTATAAAGCTGTTTATTTGGCAAAGCTTCAGCCTTTGCTGGGTAAATTTCTAAATAATCCCTCTCTGTCCCTAGCATTTTGGAAAAATCTAAATTGGACAGGCACTGTATTTAATATAGTTTATAAAGCAAGAACCCAAATAATAACTCTTTTACCCAAAATAATAATATAATCGAGATACACGGGTGACTCACAATTCAATACACAAGAATGGCACAGAAAGCCATTGTTTAAATTGCAGTGTGTAACCTTGGAGATATAAGTGACATATAGTATCTGATGTGTATAATGTATATATAAGGATTCAGAATAATATTTTGTAAAAGTTCTATCTCTTGTTGTTTTCACTGGTATCCATACATTTCATATTATAATACCAATAGGACATACTGCTAAAGCTGTACTATTGGACCTGGGAACACTTCCCAGCTCCCTTTTTGATTTGCATGTCTACACTTTATTTTCTGTGCAAAGAAGCCATATCTGTAGCCTTTGGAATGGATCAAGCATCCAGTTAGAGCAGTGTAATTTGGATGCAGCCATAGAGATGACAGTCGAGCATAAATCACTGATTTTAATATCTGAAGGTCAAAAACCTCCTTTGTTTTATGACAAAGCACTTCATACCTGGCATATGCAGACTGAAAGAGATCAGTAGTTTTCAGCAGTTTGCCCTCTATGAAAGGCAGAAAGTATCTTGCTGAGGAATTGAAATAGATTAGAAAGGATATCATTTTTTAGAAGAACATATTAAAAACTGCATTGAGAACTGGAACGAGTTAACAGTCTTGGGAAAACTTTCAAAATCCTTGAATCCAAAAGCCAGAGTCTGCAGGACTCCAGCGCCATTTATGGTAAGAACTAATTCTTTGCCTTGAAAATTACAAGGAAATACTACACACATACTACATTTGAAAAGGGGAAAGAGGTTCCTGAGTGCTTCTACTCTTTGGTAGTGGCTGTGGCACTAGATCCTTCACCTCCTTCTACAACACAGTCAGTAGCAGGAGACTTACATCCAGCAGATGTAACATCTCCTGCCATACAAGACGCCCTGGCACCAACTCCAGCATTTTGTTGTGTGTGTGCATGTAATGTACCCTGGTAAAGTGATGCCAGGCAGACATCAAGGTCAACATCCCTGTGAGATAAGTAGTTAGTTAATTCTCAGAGATGTTCAGTTCTTTGCAAACTCAATCAGATGCTACTGTGTCAGTTACACTCCAGTTGTAGTTAAAAGCTTTTCAACTGGGATGATTATAAACTTAGAAACAAAAACAGTCCTCATGCCATCACAAAATTACAACAGAAATCAACCCAGACTACTACACCTAGTAATTATGTTTTATTTTAGATTGGATTGTTTGGCATGCATATGCATATGCTTATCATCACATTGGTGGGACAGCGCTTGCCAAGAGGCTTCGCCCTACATGATGAACTTGAGAACATTTTTTGTGCTTGCTACGAACTAGCAGTCGTGACTACGACAGTACACACGGTCAGCGAGGCAGGGACCACTGAGAGGTCACTGGTAGCTCTGTGTAAACGATCACATTGACCTGAAAATAAACAACATGTGGAACACAACGTAGATTAATACATTACTTGAACTTCAGTTTGCTGCATTGATTTTTGTGTGTGTGTGTGTGTGTGTGGCAATGTTAGTAAACAAACTGTTCAGTTCTAGAACAAGCTGGAGATAGTTACTGCGGTAGTCCAGCAGACAAATGGTTGCACTTTGAGTTTTTAATACAATTGACAAAATTGCTGTCTTCTGCTGATTTAATTTAAAAAGAAATATATCTCTCTATAAAAGAAAGCTGGTAGGTATTTGGAGTTACTTGTCAAAATAGCACAGTGTTTGTAGTTGGGTCCTGAAGGAGGAAATTCAGCCTCGCATGAAGGAATGAACCACGTAAACCTGGAGTTAGGGACTTAACAGCGCATGCAGTTTAGTACAATCCAGTAGTTTGGGTTAAATTAACTAACGTGATTTCTAACTCAGTAATAATGAATTTTGGAGCAGAAGTGCAGTATTGGGAGGTGATCCTGCCCCTCTACTCAGCCCTGGTGAGGCCGCATCTGGAGTACTGTGTCCAGTTCTGGGCTCCACAGTACAAGAGGGATGTGGAGCTGCTGGAGAGAGTCCAGCGCAGGGCTACAAGGATGATCAGGGGCCTGGAACATCTGCCCTATGAGGAGAGGCTGAGGGAGCTGGGCCTGTTCAGCCTGGAGAAGAGAAGGCTGAGAGGGGACCTGAGCAGTGTCTAGAAGTACCTCAAGGGAGGCAGTGAGGAGGATGGTGCTGGCCTCTTTTCAGTGGT